TGGCAGGAATGACAGCTGCCGTAGATATTACGAACTGTAGGACAGTCGGCTGTTCAACTACAAGTGATATGGTTAATTTATGTTATTCGACTTTTATGCGGAAATGTCAACGAGGAATTTAGGAAAAGAACGGAACGAAATGGATCTGAACGGAGTGGAAATGAACCGAAAGGGAAAGTGGCAGAAACGAACCTAAAGAAACGAAACGGAAATGAACTTCGGGATCTTCGTCGGACGAGGGAAATGTGGCGCCCGACTAACATTTCGTATTCAATGTCATTCCTCGATTCTGACTGCAAAGTAGATGCTCTTTCTTTCGCCTTTCCATGCTAAACTTTGGCTTTCAACTGTGAGTTTTTTTTAATGCTTCTAGGTGTGTATTTACGTTTATATGCATACACCTTGAGCCTTTCGGCGATGTTTATAATAGATTGAGCTTTGAACGGCTCTCAAGGCAATAAAATTCAACAGAACTGTCCTCTCACCGTGTGAAAAGGGTAGGTGCTCTGGAGCTTCATAGACTTTAAACAGAATTCACAGATGCACAGCTTTGGTTGTTTTCTGTAATCTTCCGGATAAGGATAGAAGTACCACATGTCAAGCTGGTATTTGGCGAATTATGCATGTATAATTGCACGTATGGAATATATACTTTCTTACTTTGATACTTTGGGCTGCAGTAGAATTGCAGAACGGTATATGTAACGCGCTTGACAGTCCGCTGCTACATATTTACGTATTTATACATGTATAAACATACTTATCTACGCGTATATAGATTTGTGTGCATATATGTATAAATGGATCTATGTATGTCTCCGTTGTGACTGCGGAGAGATCGCTTACATTGGTGAAATGGAAATGGATGGTTCAGACGCCAAAATCATTTATTCTCGTTCAGTCACGTGCCCTAAGACACTAACTTTGGATTTCGAATGCAAATCTTAATGGCAGGCCCCCGCTAGTAAGTTCTTGAAGAAGTTGTCTCAAGACGTCATTGCATTATGTTGTCTAAGACACTTTACATTTGGTGACAGTGACGTGTAAACCAGCAGCTGCCCTGTTCGTCCGCTGCGTTCACCATTTCAGGGCCGATTTTATCAATTCCAGAACTTTAGCTTGTGTAACTCCATCTGCAGGGATAGCAATATCGGTTACTTGCTGCTTTACAGGCGAGTCTTTCTGCGGTTGCTTGGGGTTGAAGAGTTCTTCAAAGTTCTTTCCCCATCGCTGAGGAATCTCCTTATCATCAGTGACAAGGTATGCAGACATATCCTTTAAAACTCTGAGACTGCCCTTCTTTTCACCTCGGTGTCCCGAATGATCTGTCAGAATACCTTGTTCGCCGTATGGAAATTTGACTCCAACTCCTCATCGCTACTTCATGCCGCATGACAGTTGAAGGCTCTTCGCTTCCAAGCTGTCTCTTGATTGCAGCCTTCTTCTCGGTGAGAGCCAGTTGTAGCTAAGGTGTGCACCGGGAGAATCTTCTCCGACCAACAGACGGCGGGCTGACTCTCATATGTGCAGCTTTATTACTCGCCAGGCTCGAGTAAGCCCATCTTAAACAACTTCCACTCGGTTTAATTTTGCATTAAGAATTGCTTATCGAAATCTAATTTGTAAGTGCGAAACTAACAGAAATATCTTTTAAAACATGCCAGTGTACCACTCTATAGCTTATTGTAAACATGTAGCCAAAAAATATGAATAACGATTATTAAACCCGACTGTGAACGTAAAATTCATGTTACTTAACGACTTAACTGGGCATGACTCTTATGTAAGTTTGAACTTGTCTGTACTGTATTCTGTAGAATTTTCAATGGGTGAATTTTATCGAGCGAGCTTTATTCTGGGTAGTTTTCTTTATAGCGACTGCACGGCTTTATGCGCATGATGACATCGTGCTTATCGCCTTTCCGGAGTTAATCCGCTAGGTTTTCACGCTCAACTAAGTGTGAAAGACAAAAAACTTGAAAAATGGCAGGTAGGGATACAATTCGTTACTTACAGATGACCCGTTAGATTTGACATTGGCAGATTCATTGCTTGCTCCATTCGTTCCAATATGGCTGTACTATAAGACTAATGGAGGTCATTA